TGTGGACAATTGGGGATTGAACCATTGGATGGAAGACCTCTCTCTCTCTCTCTCTCTCTCTCTCTCTCTCCCCCTCCTTTCTCCCCTCCCTCCCTCCCTCCTTCTCCTCTCTCTCTGTAACTCTGACTTTCAAATAAATCAATAAATCTTAAAAAAAAAAATAACTAAATGTACTAGGATAAAAGTGGAAGGAGGTCAAACTGGTTACCTGGATACTAAAAATTTTAAGTTTTGCTGACTTAAACAGAAAGCTTTTTTCTTCCAACCCAGTTATGCTTTTAAATAATATTTCTTGTTTCAAAGAACAAAGAGATGAAGTTCTACTGTGGTTCCAGAGTGTAGAACTGAAGAGAATAAGCAGGTCTTGGAGCAGCAGGGAGTTAGCTGAGGGGAGGGAATAATGGGAAGAGTAAATCAATCATGTCTATGGAATTATGCCACCTCCTGTCCTGTCTAAATAAAAACAGAAGATGAGACTGAGAGTATATTTTTTTCCCAAATATTTTCTTCCAACCACATTTATGGGACTCCTGTTTACCTGAATAATGTTTGCTATGAACCAAGAATAACTAAGCAGCTATTCTTGATTCATACTACGTTTTTAATTTAAATTTTAATGGGATTGCTTTTCAGAGCAGACAAGAGAAAAACCAATAGCAAGCTGATTTCAAGAGGCAGTTCCTGTATGAGTCTGTCACTTTGCTATTGTTAATGTCTACATAGTGAAACTGAATTATTGACCTTTAAAATCAGTCATTTTGCTCTCAAAATCTTAAATCTCCACTTAGGTATTTTTAAATAAAGATATTGACTGTAGAATTTATAAACTCAAATTTTCCCCTCCTTAGTTCAGATATGTCCCTAACCAATACTTTTCTACCATGGCAAGTTAGGTATTTAGTTTTCTTCACTATCCAAGAAGCAAAGAATTTGCCCTTCTTTTTTAGAAGAGAATTTTTACCTCACAGAGTCATCAGGATGTTGGCACATTTCTGTATTAGCCTTAAGTGAACCCCTAACTCTTTGCTTTTTCAACAAAGCTCTCTGTATGTGAAGTTTTAGCTTGGTGAAGTAAATCATAATACTGTAACAGTCTCTATGTTTTTTAAGCATAAGGTTTTTGTTCAAAGATTTATTTATTAAGAGAAAGAGAAATATTTCATGTACTATTTACTTCCCAAATGGCTGCAACAGTCGGGGCTAGGCCAGTACAAAGCCAGGTGCCAGGAACTCCATCCGGGTCTGCTACATGGAAGCCAGGGCTTCCTCTGCTTTCTGAGGTATATTAGCTGGTAGCTGGATCAGAAGCGGAGAAGATGGGATGACACCCAGATTGCCTATATGAGATGCTGGCATCACAGAACAGAGCTTAACCTTCCATGCCACAGCCCCATCCCAAACATAGTCTCTATTTTGACATGATAATCTAAGAATTTAAAAAGAAGTACATGTCTAAAAAATTTAATAGAACATAGAGATCTCTCCAGACCCTGAATCTGTTGGCACATCGATCCTGGACTTCTAAGCCTTCAGAATTACATTCAGGAAACAGCTCCTTCAAAAGAAAAAGACTCTTGGAAGACCCTTGGACTCTGACCACCTTCAGGTCAACCTGAATCAGAAAAATCTTCAGATACCTAAACTCCCTCCATTTTACAGCAGTCCCCAAAGGGAAGACCTTCAAACTTCCAGGACTTCCCCAAGGGAGTAGGGGATTCTACCAACAGTTGTCAAGAAGAACCTCAAACCACAGTGTGCCCTTAGGGGGATGTCAGATCACCACTGCACACTAAGGAGAATTATTCTACAGGGCTTGCCAGACCACCCGTGTCTCCTAAGTGGGATGTGAAATCATCAATGCTCCCCAAGGGAGATATACTGCTAGTGTCTCCCGAGGGGAATTTCCCAACCAGGGGCAGTCACTAAACAGAATCCTCACTGAACCACATTGACCCACCCCACCATGGGGACCCTCGAACCCAAAGAGCTCACCCCATCCCTGAACCCAACTCCAAGAGACCCCCATTGCTAAATCCTCTTCCCAGGGATCCTTGTACATAGTAAATTCTTCCATTAGCATGCCTGCTTTCTCCTCTAAAATGACTTGGCATCCCATAGAGGCGCCAGTTTGACCTGGCTGCTCCACTTCTGATCCATCTCTCTGCTATGGCCTGCCTGAGAAAGCAATGGAAGGTGGTCAAAGTGTTTGGGCCCCTGCACCCACGTGGGAGACCGGAAGAAGTTCCTGGCTGCTGGCTTCAGATGGCCCAGCTCTAGCATTTGAGGCTATTTGGGGAGTGAACCAGCGGATGGAAGACCTCTCTCTCTTTCTCTCACTATGCCTCTGCTTCTGCCTCTCTGTAACTCTGTCTTTTAAATAAATAAATAAATCTTAAAAAAAAAAGGAAGAAAACATGTGCAGGAGAGCCACTGAGGCTCTCAAGAGAACCACTGGGATCATCCTTCCTTTAAGAATGCCTACAGAAATGCATTTCAAGGAGATATATAAGGGGAAAGTAGTTCATGTGGTCTTGGAACTGGAGCTGATTGCCATCTGGGTATTACAGGCTTGTCTTATTCTAATACTTACATAGTATCCTCTGCTAAAGGAGTGACTGGTGAACACCAACATGTCCATAAAGGCAACCTCTTGGGAAAAAATATTAAATAGTTACATGGAAATTGCTTTGAACTTTACAAAGAAAAGGAATATAGAAATTCAAGAAATACTATTAATAGTGTTGCTGTTGTAAAGGTGGATTATATTTGTACTGCTTCGTCTTTAGAAATAATCCAGGAGTTAAAATTAGAAATAGTTACACAGGGCCAGCGCCGCGGCTCAATAGGCTAATCCTCCGCCTTGCAGCGCCGGCACACCGGGTTCTAGTCCCGGTCGGGGCGCCGGTTTCTGTCCTGGTTGCCCCTCTTCCAGGCCAGCTCTCTGCTGTGGCCCGGGAGGGCAGTGGAGGATGGCCCAAGTGCTTGGGCCCTGCACCCCATGGTGCGCCGGCCACAGCGCGCCAGCCGTGGCGGCCATTGGAGGGTGAACCAACGGCAAAGGAAGACCTTTCTCTCTGTCTGTCTCTCTCTCAGTCCATTCTGCCTGTCAAAAAGAAAAAAAAAAAGAAAAAAGAAATAGTTACACAGAATATTTTACCAAGTCATTCAAGAGGAATCACTTGAACAGCTATGGTAAATAGACACAGGATATATGTACTTAACTTTGGCACGCAGGTTGACACTTTTAATGCTGTATTTTATGATATGAATAAATAATAATGCAGAAAGCCTACCCCTCACCCTGGCAGCTGTGTGTCTTCTATTTTGACACAAGGCATATCTTGTATTCAGCAAATCTCCTTTCCTTTCTTCCTCCTCCCATTCCTTCCTTCCTTCCTTAGGATCTAAAATGAAGGTCTAGGAAATGCGCCCTCATTTAACATAATAGAAAGGTAAAAAGTGTTTTTTTTTAAGTTGCTATGATTTTTCCTAGTGAGAGATTATAATAATATTGTGTCGTTTTTCTACATGAAAATATAACTGGCACCCTATGTAGAAAACTTATGGACTATTTCTAAGAATTCTAGCATTTGCTTTCTTTTTTTGAGAGAGAGAGATATCTTCTATCTACTGGTTCACTTCCCAGATGACAACAATGGCTGGAATTGAACCAGTTTGAAGCCAGGAGCCAGGAACTTCTGGGTTTCCCACATGGTTTCAGGGGCCCAAAAACTTGAGCCATCTTCCACTGCTTTCCCAGGCTATCAGCTGGGAATTGAATTGGAAGTGGAACAGCCCGGATTCAAACCTGGGCCCGTGTGGGAAGGATGCCAATGCTGAAGATGGCAGCTTAACCTGTTGCACCATAGCGCCAGGCCCCTAGCATTTGCTTTTTTTGTTTTTGGCCTCTCAAAAGAAGAGATACCTTAAATATTTTTTTCAGAAGTGTCAAATCAGACACAATGCTGGGTGCTTAGTATATGTTGAAATAGTAGAAATTAAGTATATTTACAAGGATTGAAGCAGTACAAAGGGCTGATCATGCTAAAGCCATCAAGTCGGGCCGGCGCTGTGGTGTAGTGGGTAGAGCCACCTCCTGCAGTGCCAGCATCCCATATGGGCACCAGTTCGAGTCCCAGCTGCCCCAATTCCAATACAGCTCTCTGCTATGGCCTGGGAAAGAGTAGAAGATGTCCCAAGTCTTTGGGCCCCTGCACCCACAAGGGAGACCCAGAAGAATCTCCTGGCTCCTAGCTTTGAATTGGCACAGCTCCAGCTGCTGTGGCCATTTGGGGAATGAACCAGCAGATGGAAGACCTCTCTACTGCTTTCCCAGGCCATAGCTGAGAGCTGTATCGGAAGTGGAGCAGCTGGGACTCGAACAGCACCCATATGGGATGCCAGCACTGCAGCCAGCAGCTTTACCTGCTACGCCATAGCACCATCCCCCATCTGGTCTCTCTAGACCTGCTCACTAAACCCCTAACATGGTCAGTGACAGCCCAGCTGAAACTGTTGATTGTAGGTGTCTTGTTCTCAGAAACCAGCGACCCATTCCATCCTCCTTGGATCTCTACATTCACTTGCGCAGGACATCCGTGGTGTCAGTACTGGGAATGAATTAGAAGGTGGGCATTTTATGCTGTGAACAGCCTGTCAGGAAGGTCGTAGTGGAAGCGGGGCTTCCAGATCTTGCAACCAAGTCACTTCATTCTGTCTCAGATGCAGTTTGTTATTCCAGCTCCCTACTGAACTGGTGATTTACAGTGAGAATTATGACCTTAGGTAGTGAGGCTGAGAATACCTTAGATGCATGACTTGAATATTTCTCATCATTATTAACATAAGGGAATTGTGCTTTATCTGTTCCCTTTCATCAAGAGTTCCTAGATTTGTTAGAAAAAAATGTGACTGGAAAATCTGAGAAGAGTGCCCTTGATATTACATATTAGAAATGCTGACACTGATCACTGGTGATTTTTTGAATGTTTTCACTGCAGTGTCAAAAACGATATTTCTCTGCCTGGCACAAGCTGACACTTGATCATCAGATTAAGCTGGGGAAAGCTGGGACGTTGTCTGATTGGAAGCTTCAACTGAAGGTTCTCCGGGCCTGGAGAGACTACACAAGATCCCAAAAGCTTAAGCGGGAGACGCAAGCCTTGGAAAACAATCTTAGGGAGGAAAACAGGTACAAACTATTTATATATTAAAAGTCTTTATGATATATTTATCTAGAACATCTGCCTGAAAAACCCAGAAATGAACTTTAAAAATGCTGTTCACTGTAGTCATATTAACCATCTGTAAAATATAGTAATCATGGTTTTTCTGTGTTCCATCGCAAATTTGAAAAATGTAAACTGGGGCCAGTGCTGTGGTGTATTGGGTTAAACCACTGCCTTCAGTGCCTGCATCCCATGTGGGTGCTGGTTTGAATCCCGGCTGCTCCACTTTCCATCCAGCTCCCTGTTAATGCACCAGAGAATGCAGTGGAGAATTGCCCAAGTGCTTTGGCCCTTGCACTCACATAGGAAACCCAGAAGAAGCTCCTGGCTCCTGGCTTCTGTATAGCCCAGCCCTGACTATTGCGGCCATTTGGGGAGGGAACCAATGGATGGAAGGTCTCTCTCCATTTCTTTCTCTCTCTCACTGCAATTCTGACTTTCAAGTAAATAAATAAAATTTAAAAAACGGGGCCGGCGCTGCGGCTCAATAGGCTAATCCTCTACCTAGTGGCGCTGGCACACCGGGTTCTAGTCCCGGTCGGGGCGCTGGATTCTGTCCCGGTTGCCCCTCTTCCAGGCCAGCTCTCTGCTGTGGCCAGGGAGTGCAGTGGAGGATGGCCCAGGTCCTTGGGCCCTGCACAACATGGGAGACCAGGAGGAAGCACCTGGCTCCTGGCTTTGGATAGGCGCAGCGCCGGCCACAGCACGCCAGCCGTGGCGGCCATTGGAGGGTGAACCAACGGCAAAAAGGAAGACCTTTCTCTCTGTCTCTCTCTCTCTCATAATCCACTCTGCCTGTCAAAAATAAAAAAAAAAAAAAATGAAAGAGTATGTAGAGATCTAAAAAAAATTAAAAAAACAAAAATGTAACTGAAAAGTATAAGGAAACAAATTCATTTTATTTTATTTTTTCTTTAAAGGAAGTAAGAATAGGCTTTTCCCTGGCTCTCTGGTGTAGTAGTAGCTTTATACCCGGGACCATCTTATAAGTCAAAGGAGGGAGTTTGGTTTATTTTCCAGTAATTATCATTGGTAGAAATCACCATTTACAGATAGAACATTAATTAAGGACACAGGGAGCAGGACTGGCGCTGTGGGATAGAGGTAAAGCCACCACCTGCAGTGCCAGCAATCCATATGGGTGCAGGTTTGAGTCCTGGCCACTCCACCTCCAGTATAGCTCCCTGCTAATGAGCTTAGGAAAGCAGCAGAAGATGGTCCAAGTGCTTGGACCCCTGCACCCATGTTGGAGACCACGGGGAAGCTCCTGGCTCCTGGCTTTAGATCCACCCAGCTCTGGCCCTTGTGGCTGTTTTTGGAGTGAACCAGCAGATGGAAGATTTCTCTATTTCTCTCTGCCTTTCAAATAAATAAATAAATCTTAGAAAGAGAGAGAGAGAAAGAAAGAGGAAGGAAGGAAGGAAGGAAGGAAGGAAGGAAGGAAGGAAGGAAGGAAGGAAGGAAGGAAGGAAGGAAGGAAGGAGAGAGAGGGAGGGAGGGAAGGAGGGAAGGAAGAGAGAGAGAAAGAAAGGGAGAAAGAAAGAGAAAGAAAGAAAGGCCACAGGGAGCCTCCATCTAGGACGGCCAACAGATGAAGAGTGATTCCTCCCACTCTGCTGTCTTTTGCTCCACACCTTACACAGTGATTTTTGACACCTTTATATCAGCTCAGATGAAGCTTTTTCTGTTCCATTGTCTTAAAATTCAAAATATTTTCTTCTCCTTTCCTAAACTTTGTGTACTTGAATCAAAATCATATAGAAGGAACCATTTATTTATGCGGTGAGAGGGCTCAGGTGCATATGTGGAGTCACTTCTCTACTGGCAACTCTGTGCTTCATTCAAGAAGAAAAAATTGAGGAGTGGTTTGTGGGAGTGTTGTTACACTGAGGGGCTTGGTGCTTCCTGGAGCTGTGCAACCCTGTGACATTATCAGTCCTGGGGAGAATACATAAAAGACTGGCTCAAGGCCCCTTGACCTCAAAGAACTCAGTGTTATATAGGAAAAACAAAATCTAGAGATAGCAGAGGTGTTTTTTTGTTTGTTTGTTTTTGGACAGGCAGAGTTAGAGAGAGAGAGAGGGAGAGAGAGAGGTCTTCCTTCTTTCCGTTGGTTCACCACCACCACCACCACCCCCAGTGGCTGCTGTGGCCGGCGCTGCGCCTATCCGAAGCCAGGAGCCAGGTGCTTCCTCCTGGCCTCCCATGGGGTGCAGGGCCCAAGGACCTGGGCCATCCTCCACTGCACTCCCTGGCCACAGCAGAGAGCTGGCCTGGAAGAGGGGCAACCGGGACAGAATCTGGCGCCCCATCCGGGACTAGAACCCAGTGTGCCGGCACCGCAGGCAGAGGATTAGCCTAGGGAGCCGCGGCACCGGCCATCAGAGGTGTTGAGTAGTCGTAAATTAGTACGTCCCCTTGTGTGGCTGAGAACGTGGAGAGGGGAGTGTAGCTGTGACCAGAGCCTCCTGAAGAGCGCCAGGAAAGGCTTTTGGGCCTTGATCTGGGCTCTGCATGTTAATTGGATGTTCCCAGGTGGAGATAGGAGACTGGGGTGATGGCATGAAGTAGAGCCAGCTGGCATATTGTTGTGAAGGTCATCAACTCCTCAAAGACCTTTACTGCCAGGACAAGGAATTTTGGTATTCTTTGGTAAATAATGTTGAATTCTTTATGGTTTTTCAGCAGGGATGTTACCTAATTAGTTTCTTTTTCCTACTATATATAGGAGAGATTCTTTGGTTAAAAAAAAAAAAAAAAAAGAGGTAGAAAACTCTCCTGTACTTTGTTTCTAAAATCTTAGGATCTAGGAATTGATACAAGGAATTAGGTTGATGACAGGATTTGTTGGCTGAAGGAGGGAAACTGGAGGCTTATGAGTGGATGTAATGTGACAAGGACATAAAGTGAGTGGAAACTGGGATGTTGAAGTTCAAAATGGCCTGTGGGATTGACATGCCAGAGAAACTTGCAGAAGAAAAATCTGGAGAATTTTAAGATTCTATCCCAATTAAACTGTTTACAATTAGAAGCACTAAATGGGGATTTTATAATAGCATGATGTGCCAATTTGTTTTTTAAAGATCCCAGAACTTCTCATCTTGTATCTGTGAATTATTTTCATGTATCTATTTTTAAATGTTCAGAGTCGATACTAATTTTTTTAAATTGTCAGAGTTTAAATATTAGAAAATATCTACTTTATAATGTTGTCATTACAAAGCACTAGAGCAAAAAAAAAATTACAAGAGTAAGAAGGACATCAAGGATTATCTGATCCAGCTCCTATTTACAGATGATAAAAGGAAGGTACAAAGAGAAAGAAGGACAATCTTGAGGTTACAAAGCTAAGAGTAGCTTTAGTCCAGGACTAAAACTTATCTTTTTTGATTTTGAATCAGTTACTTTTTCCTACACTGCTCAGCTCTTCCATTAACCCAAATAGCATCTATGTCATGGTTCCCTAAGACAGCCTTTTTTTTTTTTTCAATTACATTGCAGTTTACTGTAGATTGTTATATAGAAAAAACAAGAGTTGTATTAATGAATGACTTTGGGGGTGGTATTGTGGTATGGCAGGTTAAACCGCTGGTTTGAGTCCTGGCTGCTCCACTTCAAATCCAGCTCCCTCCTAATGTGCGTGGGAAGTCATGCTAGAAACGTATGAGGAGAAAGGAGCTTTTAGATATAAACTTCCCTTGCTGCTGCCTTCCCACAGATCCCTGGCTCTCTGAATATTGCATTTTATTCTAAAAATTGTTTTAGGAAATTAATTGGGTGATTTTGTTCAAAGATGGTTGTGATATTAAAGCTAGAAGAAGAAAAAGCTCAAGGTTAGCTGCTAGAAGCAGAAGCTAAGAAATATGGGATTGAAGGGTCCGGAGACCCAGTAGCTCTTTTCCTAATGTGCTCATAAGGACTTTTCCTGGTGTCTCAATGGACACTGAATGTCTGTGTGTTAAATAATAAGGGAGTCGTGGTGGTGCTGTGGCATAGAATGTAAAACCACCAGCTGCAGTGCCAGTATCCCATATGGGTGCCAGTTGGAGTCCTGGTAGCTCCACTTCCTATCCAGGTCCCTGCTAATGCACCTGGGAAAGCAACAGAGAATGGCCCAAGTGCTTGGGCCCTTGCATACACGTGGGAGACCTGGAAGAAGCTCCTGTCTTCAGTCTTGACCAGTTCTGGCCATTGCAGTTATCTGGGGAGTGAACCAATAGGTAGATAGAAGGTCTCTTTCTCTCTCTCTTTGTCTCTCCCTCTCTTTGTGTAACTGTGCCTTTCAATTATTTATTTATTTATTTGAAAGAGTTACACAGAGGAGAGGTGGAGAGAGGTCTTCCATCCACTGGTTCACTCCCCAGATGGCCGCAATGGCCAGAGCTGCATCAGTCCGAAGCCAGGAGTCAGGAGCTTCTTCCAGGTCTTCCACATGAGTGCAGGGGCCCAAGGACTTGGGCCAATCTTTTACTGCTTTCCTAGGCCACAGCAGAGAGCTGGAGCAGCCGGGACTTGAACTGGCGCCCATATGGGATGCCGGTACTGCAGGCAGCGGCTTTACCCGCTATACCACAGCACCAGCCCCTAAAAATAAATATAATAATAATAATAAGAAGAAGAAGAACCAATGAAAGAATGAAGAGCTCTGTTGCTCCATGCCTCGCAGTTTAAATTGAGAGGGCTTGTGAGCGTTCTTTCTAAATAGCTCGAGGGATAGGAGAGAGTGTTTACTACAACAGGTTACTTACTGAAGTACTACTTGCTGTAGAAACTTAACTCTTACCAGAATGGCAAACACAGGTGGTGCTGTGGCCCATCCACCTGGACGTGGATATCACTGGTTATATCTGTTACTCAGATGTCTGCTGTGTCCCCATTCTCCAGCTCCTGCACTCGCATTTGTTTTTGTCACCTGGGGTTTCTCTCTCACTAGCCAGTGGGCTTATTTCTTCTCTTTTCTCTC